GGTATGGAATGTGCGCATTTCTATGGGAAGTTTTCGGATAGCATTTGCGCACATTGTCGAACTGCGGTCTTGAACAGCTGCAGCCAGATGCTTTAAGTAGGTCATAGGCCACTTCCTTCACAAGATTCTGTGAAGCTCATCAGAGTATCCCAGCACCCTGTTTACAGGGCGGGGGGTACGAGCGAAGGTTAAGAAGATACATTGTACATACCGGTACTCCCTGGCTTTAAGGGTTCATGCGGTGAATTTTTCTTAGGAACACTTTTAAATGTATGAAAACTATTTGACATAGGCCCCCAACTTTTTTGGTTAATTTGATTCAAAAGTGCACTTCTTTAAATATTTTTAATTGTCCATGCTTTTCCTGTCAACTGAGGGCGCTGCTGCTGTGATGTCATTTCAGGAAGCCACTGTTCACTTTAGGGGGTTTCCTGTTCAAATTGTGAACCCAACGTTGGCATTGAAAATGTTTGCCAGAAAACATTGCTCTTGGCTTACAGTCATGTATATGTGCCGAAACAACAACGAATCACCAAAGAAGGAAAATATTCAAAATTCTGTCAAATTTTGGTGCTGAATTAGCTGTAACATTGAGGTGTCTACCCGAAATGACATCACACTTAATTGCTCATGAATATGGAAATTCGCATTAGGATAAAAACCAAAAAGGCACCAAAATACCCTTCAAAATGGAAGTTGAAAATAAGGCTAAATAGGACACAGATGTGCATTTTCAAGGATTGCATTAAAAAAATTACATTAGGCCCAAAAAAAAAAGTCTCCGGTTTCTGGTATGCGCGCGCGTCGCCGTAGCCATGCGCGTCGGCAAAATGAAAAAGTTTTTTTTTCAATGAAAGATGATGTCTCAAAACCGCCAAACTCACTGGTTTGACTGGAATCCTGCTCCTGCACAATTTTAACGTGTTTTTAGATTGGGTTATGATCGAGAATAAGCTTTATGTGGCCTCTCTGGACTCCCATATATTTGCACTAAGTTAAGTCGGGCACCATTTGCAGTCATCAGCCGACATTTGAAGCAAAAAAGTCAGGTAAAAAAAAAAAAAAGCCGCGTCGCCGCACCACTTTTTGGACAAGCTCCATACCAGAAACCGGAGACTTTTTTTTTGGCCTTATGGGCCCCTTAACATTTTTGACCTACGGTAGATTTTCCCGAGCCTTTTGAATATCTTTAAACTTTGTCTTTTATATTTTCCAGGTTCACACTGCCATTGTACGTGTACATTGTATGCATCAAACAGTGCAATGCCATTTGATTTCACAATGTAAAAGTGCAATACGCGTATTGGTACTGAAACTGCCCTGGGGGGGAGGGGAATGATGTTCACATGAGTGTGTCTGTGCGTGTCTGTCACTAGTGTCGGCCTGCCATGCATGACCGGATGTGACGGCGGCCCGGGAGATGGGCAAATACCCCACAGGGGGGCCACTGCAATTTGCATTCAGCGTGGAGGCCATGCGTGCATGCCATCGACCAGTCATCTCTTGCTGCGGCACCCACTCAGACGTGCTACTGAAACACTCACGGTGCTCTTCCACGTGGAATCGCAAGGATGATGGACATCCATACAAATGTAGACACACTCGGCGAAGGGATCCAACATGCTGTAATCATAGTTCATTTTAAAACTAATGTATGTGAATGCACTAAATACATGTATGTGGGTCAATTCACACTAAAGGGGTACAAGAGTGTGACATGGGATGGATAATGAAGCAGGATAATAATATTAAGTTGTTTGTCCTCTTTTCCTCTTGTACCATTCCCACTGTTGTTGCGGATTGTGCTCACCAAAAATCTAAGACTTTCCAGGCAAATTTTGCAAGATGTAGGCGTACAAGTATATGCTCAGAATGTTGTGTACATAACATGGACAGAAAGTTGCTAAATACTGCTATTCCCAGAATATTCTCCTGGGCTTTTCCTCCCACCTCTAAAACTGTTAACTTCTTCTCATTGTCTTCTCTCCACAGGTTTCTTCAGGCTTGTGAGCTACAGTGCCTAGGGCGCTTTTGAGGAATCCTTGGTTTCATTACCAGAAATGATTAATAATAATAATAATACAAAAAACTGTGTTTATTTTGGCTGTTAGCAATCCTAAATCAGAGGCAACACACTGAGTTTACAGTGTTTATACATTGGTGAAGGGCAAAAAAATCTAAAATATTGATTAACATCACCCCAACGCAAATTCATCAAACAAAATCATACATTGACAGCCGTTGTAAATGCTGGTATTTTCCTCGTCCAAGATGTTTAGATTAAATTCAAAACGTTGCGCAGCTACAAGTACCCCAAATTTTGCGAAATTGATCGTAAGTTTATTGTGCAGAGCTGCGTAATAAAGTTGTTGCGCAAGTCCTATGCATGGCGTAAGTTACGCATTGTTTCGTGAAATCGGCTGCAGGCATCCTACGGTAACTTGCTCTAATCCACCGCTATGTCAATGTACCCAGCAAGGCAATCAGTTGAATAGTGACATTTCAGTACATTTGCACATTCCTATTAGTTTCCATTAGTCCGGTTGTCAGTATCGTTGCTTTTTTCCCCTGGTCATTGGAGAAAAAAAACACAGTAGGAAATTGAACTCAGTATCTGGACAGCTCTGGCTACCGGTGGGTTGTCCGTAGAAATTATCCCCGACAGTTATGTCACCATCCAACTCCCAGGCACCCACAAGGAAACAGCTTGTTATGAAATGTCAATTTTCCCAAACCACTCTAGCTCGCGACAGGCCCTACTTTTTTTCCTTATCACGGAGAGCGTTAAAAGCGTTGCTAGCAGAGTGACGTCATGGTACATACATGTGAGCCTGCCCAGAGCGACAAGCACAATGTCATATTAGGTTTCTTTCTTGTTTCGATTTTTTATGGGTGTCTTTCTTTCTTTAACACTTCCGTATACATGCGTACCTCAGAATTTACGCAGCGAGTGCGATTTGAGTGGGCTTGTTGTCACCAGCTAGAACCCTTCTGACAGAGATACCCTCCGTGAGACGAAGGCTTTAAAGCCAGCTATATTTAGCTGTTGCTGAATCCCGTCCACACTTTAACGATCGCTCCGAGCTGAGAAACTGAAGTTCTTCGCAGCCTAGGGGAAAACTACAGGCTCAACTCTCTCGAACTTGAAACCGTCAGACAAATGCACAGGAGAATGGAACATGTGGACAAACAGGATTGCACCACGGGCAACGGGCCAAAAATAGCCGAACCTGGCTGGCAAAAAAACAGTCCTTAACTAGCCACAACACCTGTAGGTGTAAATGCCCCTGGGTTTTATAAATACGGCTTGTTACACACAAACTGTGTGCCCTTTTAAACCAACAAAAAAAAAAACCCAAAAGTCAAAAAGAGAAAGAAACTTTACAACATCCATTCACGAATTTGAAAGAAGTCTGAGAATAATTCATGTTACAGTGCAGTTACTGCTCCAAATAAGTGACATTAATCATGTCAACCCTTCGTTTGTTTGATCAGTCACAGACAGTCAAAATTTCAATTCTATTCCCCTGCCATGCCTTTTACACATGTGTGTCATGACGAAAAAAAATTATTATCAAGGTGCAGAAATATCATGAATAGCACGACACATCTTACAAAGACTACAGAGACGTCGAAAGAATGGACAACATATGGGAGGAAATTGCCATGTTTCGATATCCTTGAGTGTTAATTTCAAACATGATTTGTTCATCACACGCTCGTGTGCGACATCTCCCGCAGCATAGTCACTGGACAGACGCGTCTTAGCGTTTCATGAAATCAGCGCTGGGTCCCACTTAAAGGGAATGTACATCATTGGCTTTTGCTGTAATTTTCAGAAATGAACTATTTGAGGGGTTAGTATAATAGATCAAATATTGTTACACTGACATGTTCGAAAATGCTGGAAAAACCAAGAAAAACAAAAATGTTCAAGTAGTCTGGTTCTTTGACTCCACTAAAGATAAAATGGATCAACTTATAGATGCCGAAAAATTGTAAGGTAAGGGAACCCTGGAGTCTAGCTGGCCTGCACCCGATCGTGAACATGTAACCAATAGCAAACAAAATTTGGACTGAAAAAAGTGTAAAGTTGGAGTAGTTGAAAAATAGTTAGGTTTTTCCAACGGTGATCGGCCGACCACCGTTGGAAATGTATACAAAAATACCATTTTCTTGAAAATGACTTCACACCAGGTGCCATAATTTTACAGGATGCTTTAGACTGTCATTTACCAACATCCTACCGGTAGTAAGGTATTTCGTAAAAACTTGGTAGTGTTATTTTTTGATGTTTGCAAATGTTGTATATTCCCTTTAATAAAGGTCAGGTAGGCAAGGCGTACCGTTCACACTTACACCAGTGTGTATACGGGTCGGCTGTAGATTTTGGTTTTTCTACCTGGGTAGAGCCTCTCGACCCTGGTCCCGACCAGGGTTGAATTTTACAGGCTTTCCAATACTTTTTGTTTCATCTCATTTGCTTTTGTCAATCCAGAGATAACTCCAGTTTACTGCGGAACACAAAAATCGAGTTTGTTTCTTTTGCCAAGTTGCAATCTTTTGTGAGCTTCAAGACAGCATGGCACAGTACTCGAAACAACTCTGCCCATGAATAAAAGTAGCACAAAATCAATTTTGGTGTATCGCACTAAATTGATTATATCTCTGAATTGACAAAAGCAAATAAGATCAAACAAACACTATAGGAAAGCCCAGTCTTTGTTCTTTAATATTATGCCAAGTAAGAATGACTTTTTTTGAAATTTCATTATTTAACCAATTTTTTTTTCTGATTGTACCATTTTTTTTAGACAGGCTGTAGAAGCCATGGTTGACTGTGTGTAAGGCTCTTTTCATACTCAGCTCCATCAAATTGGTGTCGGAACATTACACACAAACTAACAAAATCACATCATTCTCTAAAAAAAATTCAGTTTTCCCAATAATTTGGATTAACAAAAAATAAGGAACAGAAGTTGTTTCAGTAATTGTCTTACCTGCTGGTCCATCCAAGACGGCCTTTTTCACTGCAATAGAAAAAAAAAATGAAAGAAATTGAGCATTTTCAATAATAAATTTCCAACAGCAGGTTATGGGGAAATTAGCTGGATTATTGGGAGGTAAACGTGGTAACGCCCATCCCAACTGGGGTTTGATTCTCCAAGGTTGCTACACATACAATGTATGTACAACGTAGTTTGTAAACTGCGCAAAGAATGGGCAAAACGGTGGGTTTCTGCAATGGGGTCAGACTTTTGATTTTGGAGAATCCATGCAGTACCGTATTCAGGTTTTGGGTCAAGGAATGGGGGGATAATTTTTCTGAAAAATTGGCCTTTTTTTGTGCGCAAAAAGGGTAAAAAGCCACCTGGGGAGGGTATGGGCTCCGTGCACCAACAAAAGAGGGCGCCTTTTTATCACTTTTGAGAGCTCCGTAGACAGGACACACAGCGTGTGCGTGCTGTACTGTAGGCCCCCCTACTGGTTCACGCGCGAAGTACGCACGACTTCCTAAATGTTCCAAAGCTACATGTATAAAGCCACATCGTCTTCACGTCTGGCGTCAGGCGTCGTTGGCATGCGAATTCATTAGAATTTAACTTGCGATGGTCTCCCAGACTAATACCCACCCCCAATAACTTTGGATCATTCGAAATACGCAGTGGATGGACCGGGAACCAGTCTAGGTCTCCCCCAACTCTCCTTTTCTGGCCGGTGAAGGGGTACTTGTGCACGGAGCCCATAAACCCTCCTGCCATTTAAACCTGGTCTAAATTCACTTTCACTTCCCCTGCTATACTTTTAACAAAGGCTAGTCACCAGCAGTCAGATCATACTATGTACATGACATGTACCGTACATGTGCAATGTATGTTTGAGCAAGCACTGGGACTAGTCAAACTGGGTCAAAAGACAAAGCAGGCAAGTTATTGTCAAAGCTGTTTTATCACTCACAGGAATTCAAAGCACAGCTGTATCAAGTCACTTAAACAGTCCCAGCCAGTCAATCCTGCTTTACATGTATGGATGTGTACCGGTAGGCTGGAAATTCTTCTGTTAAAAACAGTCACTTACTCACTTGTTTGATTTTGACTGAAAGTACTACTACACAGAATGTATGTTTGCATATTTTTAAAGTGCAAAAAATTGACAAAATGGTGGTTCCTGCAACATTTGGGGTCAGAATATTGATTTTGGAAGATCCATGCAGTACCTACCGTAGGTTTTGGGTCCAGGGGTGGAGGTATAATTTTTTTCTGAAAAAGTGGTCTTTTTTTGTGTGCATAAAAAGGGTAAAAAGCTGGCCGGGGAGGTACACGTACTAAAAGCAGTTGTGAGCCTGTGCTGGTGTTTTAACTCCTTTTTTTTTAATGTAAATTCAGCAGGAATGTCATGGCACATTGTTTTAATTCCATCTTACCGGTATTTATAAGGCAATTAATTCATGTGATTCCGTAATCAAAGTAAGAGTTAAGATCTAGTAAATACATCTACATGTAGTAGGCCTACATGTACGTTCTTTTGTTGAAGTAACTTACAGTGTTACTTATTGCGCATCAGTTAATGCATTTATGAGCATACAATACCTGTGCATATCATTTCTCAGTTTGCAGAGAGATACAGGTACCAGTGCATGTACATTGTAAATGCCAGTAACTTTTTACGATATTTGTTGCCATTACATGTATTAGTTTTAATACGAAGCGATCAATTGGATAATTTGATCATGTACCGGTACGTACAATTCTCAGATTAAAGAGGTTGTGGAATGCTCGAAGACATTTCCGTCATTTTTCGGGTATGTGTAGCCTAAGGTCTGATGAAATAAAAACAACTATTGTGTCTGTCATAAAATGAGTACAAAAGGTACTTTTGAGAGCTGTTTTCAGGTCCTGTTTCGACCCGAACGTGCAATTTGTGTAAAAGTCGTCGTTGGGGGCAGCAAACAAAACATAGTAAATCATGACGTAATAAACAGGACTCGTGTATACTACGCTGCATCGGGAGTCCTGTTTATTACGTCACGATTTACTATGTTTTGTTTGCTGCCCCCAACGACGACTTTTACACAAATTGCACGTTCGGGTCGAAAGAGGACCTGAAAAACAGCTCTCAAAAGTACCTTTTGTACTCATTTCATGACAGAAACAATAGTCGTTTTTATTTCATCACACCTTAGGCTACATATACCCGAAAAATGATGGAAATGTCTTCGAGCATTCCACAACCTCTTTAAGCTTGTACCATGCTGCATGCTGTATACACTGTACAGTATGCTGCATATATGCATGTAAATTTGCTCTTTGTACATGTACATTTGGGCATTTCCACACTAATGGGCCAATTAGATAAGTTTATGGATGTTGCAGATGAGCTAGTATTTTCTTCAGTTTTTTCCTATACCTTGCTAAGTTGAAAGTGACCAGGACAAGACAAGACAAAAGATGATACCTTGTTTTATTTGAGAAAAAAAAGGCATCTTTTCTGTGTGATACATGTAATGTAGACAGACACACTGCTAGGGAAAGGGTGCTTAGGACAAATTCAGTTTCTTATAGGCGCTTCCAGTGACATTATTAAGCCATTTTACATTGTTATCTAGCGAAAATATAACAGTTTTTACACTGGCTTCAAATTTATGATGTCATTAGGGTTAGGTACTAACAGGGACAGACATTTTGTGACAAATGTCCAGTCTGTTCGTACGTTTAAATCCTGATTATAAAATATCAAATAATTCTTCACACTGACCCCGAGTTTTCTAGGTTTTGACTGATAAGCAGTCCTCCTGGGTACATCTTCTTAAATAAGTCAACATTAGGGGATCATTAAACTTTATGCTTACTTTGTGACTTTATCTAAACTGTCTGTCCTTCGTTATGTACAGTGTACGTAACACTTTTTAAAACAATATCCACTATATTTTCTAAAATACAAAACCAGTTATATACATACATATCATTTGCAGGTGAGGATATCTGTTCGAAGCTTGCAATGTTTACAGCAAAAATTGAGAGACCAAGATCATAGTTTTATCATCAAAACTTGAAGGTCTTCTCAAATGTCACACTTTTGGGCCCATTAGTGTGGAATTACCCATTTGTACAAGTGGGCAATTCTTTGGTAACGGAATTACGGAATTTTGTCACTTTGTCAAGGATTATTCTTTCCCAAGAAAATATGTTCAATGCTAGGCAACTAATCTAAACATGGAAAGGGAGCCAAGACCCAGTAGAATTGATTGACCGCTAAAAAAAAAAAAATCCCACAAGATTACCCTTTCAGGGGCGGAGCTTAATATCGGTAACGGAATTACGGACGGAGGACAAGCATATTTGAGTTCTCGCATAAATTAATAAAACTCTCTGAAGTTTTAAAATTTTAAAATTGGACACTACCTGTTATTTGTAGAGTTCAGGGGTGTTGTTAACTACAATGCAGAACAAAGTTGAAAAAATAATCACTCTTTTCATAATTTGCATTTTAATCACGGTAACGGAATTACGCCTGGGCGGTAACGGAATTACGCCATAGGTTTACATGTAATAGGTAAATGCAATACATTAACATTGAATTCAACATAAACTCATCACAATACAAATTTTAGAAGTATGTAAAATGCCACAAGGGGATAGCTCAGTGAAAATAAGCAGATCAAAATGTAAATGTAGGCCTAAACATGTCTGGGCTTCATTTTTTAGGTCAAAGGTCAAGGTCAAATGAAAGCAGTCTGGTGATGGCTGCATTGCCTGTTTTATTTTTTAACGAAAATCAAATTTTACTATGAACAATTGTATTATCGTATTTCACTAGTTGATCGTGGAAAATACAATAAAACTCTACTGGTTGGCATCTCTGAGCAAGGGAAGATGTTAAGTTATGCCAAGTAGAAGTACAAGTACAGTCTGGTACTCAACTTTCATATACTTGTTGTGGAATATATTTTCTCTGGGTACCAGACAACGGCTTTGGCAACATATTTAAAGGGAATGTACATCATTGGCTTTTGCTAAATTTTCAGAAATGAACTATTTGAGGGGTTAGTATACATGTAATAGATCAAATATTGTTACACTGACATGTTTGAAGTTTTGCGTTCGAAAATGCTGGAAAACCAAGAAAAACAAAACTGTTCAAGTAGTCTGGTTCCTTGACTCCACTAAAGGTAAAATGGATCAATTTATAGATGCTGGAAAAGTGGAAGGTAAGGGAACCAGACTAGCTGGCCTACACCCGTTCATGAACATGTAACAAATAGGTGTAGCAAACAAAATTTGGACTGGAAAGAGTGTAAAGTTGGAGCAGAAGTTGAAAAATAGGTTTTTCCAACGGTGGTCGGCCGACCACCGTTGGAAATGTATACAAAAATATCATTTTTTTGAAAATTACTTCACACCAGGTACCATAATTTCACAGGATGCTTTAGACTGTCATTTACCAACATCCTAGTAAGGTATTTCGTAAAAACTTGGTAGTTTTATTTTCTGATGTTTGTAAATGTTGTATATTCCCTTTAAGCATCCAAACAATTAGCATTTTTTAAATAGTAAAAAAGAAATAGTAAAAGTAAAAAATATCAATGGAACACCTGATTATTTTTAATTGTATAATAGCAATTAAAGAGGGAAATGATTTAACAAGTAATTTAGTATTTAAAGTTATTGTCCAAGGTTTACATGCAAATCTCCTATTTAATATGTCATGTACATACATGTGTACATAATCTGGGGGAAGTGTGCATACTTTGTGCATGCGTAATTCCGTTACCGTAATTCCGTTACCGTTTCGTAATTCCGTTACCACTTGGAAAAATGCCAAGAAATTACTATTTTAAAGTTTTTATTTTTCATTTATGTTTATAGTAGGGTCTTTTCTCAACATAAATGATTTGTAGAAAAAAAACAAGAAAATTTGTGAAATAAGTAACTTTTGCCATTTTTTCGGTAACGGAATTACGTGCTAATTTTGACATTTTTAAATGAAGGCCTACACTATATATATATATATATTTAGATTTTTAGATTTTTTTTTAATGACCCTGAGTAATGTTAGTAACTTGTAACATCATAAAATAAATCAAATCTTTTCCCTATAATTCAGAAAGTAATACATACACAAAATTTTATTTTTTTACCAAATCTGAACGTTTTTAATCATAAAATGCAAAAATCACTGTTTTTACCAGAAATATGTATTTTTTTTTAATTTCGTTTTTTGAACTGAATTCCCCATTTAATTGAGGTCTGAAAAAAGTACAAAAAAGGTTTAATATGTAAATATTTATTTTTGACATTTTTTGCTCTCCCATGGAGAATTGCCCAAGTGCATGATGTTGCTGGCACCAGCCATGTAAGATTTCAGTAATTGTTTATAAATGCACATAAAAGTATGTAGATTCTACATGTAATTGTACACGTGTACATCGTACTCCTTACATACATGTATTTACATGTGCTCACATGTGCTGGTACATGTGCTGGTACATGTACACGTACGTACCGGGTATGTGCAACATTTGTACATTTTTGCTACAGTTTAAGTTTTTTACTAAAACTCATACATGTACACCCAAAAAGTGTCATCATGCAATGTGTACTTGAGATAATGGCCAATGTTTTTTTTTTTTATCCGAATGATTCGTCAAATATTTCTGTTATTTGTGTACACTAATTTCCAAGAATTTAATTCATTCCTGGTCATGTACACAGCACATGATTTCTGCAGCAACAGACAATTGCCTTGGAACACAAGTTGTAAGGGAAAGAAAATAAATGAACTGAGATGATGCTACCGGTACATGTATTGTTTTTTCCACGCTGCAAACACTCCTAAAAGCTGTAAATGGGTTTTTGCTTTTAGACGCTGATGAACGATGACACATAATGGGATCATTGATGCATTCACAACGGGCCATTAAATCATTATGTGAGTAATTATTATGCAATGAATATCAGATGTGGCTACGTTGCTCAGGAAGACAATTTGCATACCGTGCCCACTGGGCTGTGGACTAATGGCATTTTATCTTTAAAAATGGCTCAGTATTTTGTACATTTTATTATGATTCAATATTTTAATTTTTTTTTATCCTTGAAGGATTGTGAAACATCCTTCTAGAGTGTCAATTGTTGTCAACATTGGTATAATGTATGACACAACAAGCCTATGGGGAGGGAGGCGGTGAAACCTCATCTTTGTCTCTCTTCAGTTTTGATGTTTATCATACATGTGTATGATTTCAATCAATCAATCAATCAACATTTATTTCCATAATGCCAAAAAGAAAACAAGACAATGTAACAAAATAAATTAATAAGTAATATAATTAAAGTAATATCATTCTAAATATACATATAAATATCTAAGCAAGAAAGGACCATAAAAAAGGCAATTATGGGGGCATCTTCCGAAGCCGGGGGCTTATGGCGATGCCTTGACAAAACAAAACCGAAATGACAACTTGACAAATACAGAGACATACAAACAATCGGACAAACGCAAATAGGGGGTTATATTGGGATTAAAACATACTGGATATAATTACATATGGATGCAACAAAAACAATAATGCCATAATCAAATTTTCGTGCAACTACATGTACATGTATAGGCCTATGCAGTCAAAATCAAAACTATACAAAAACGTTCAGGTAAACACAAGAAAGTGAACAAAAACAAATTGATCACGAAACAAAAAGAACAAACAAGTAGGCAGCCAAATCAAAATGTTCTTACGAAAGATAAACAAGATGAACAATCAAATGGCAAAAAAGAAAATTACACAAAGAAAATAAACTGTTAAGAGACATTCAAGCAAAAGTGAAATGATAAACACATGTCCCAAATCTCCCTGCCTATGGATAACTCCCTTACTGCCCGAAATTGCCCATGGATGCAGTCAATGGTTTTATGGTTTCCTCAGTGAATAAATACAAATGTAATATAATGTAGTACGCGTGCTAATCGGTTAAAGTCCAAACCAAATGAAGTGTTTTGACCTGTAACCTCTATGGTACACAGGTATACATGTACAGGTATCCCTCCGACTGTGCACCGGGTTGGGTTGACAAGGAAACTGCCCCGAAAATAAACCAAATCCGAACCGAAACCGATCTGAACTCCCCAAATCCGACGACCTGACCCGACAAAAATTCAAGCAAAACCAACCCGAACAGACCCGAAACTGAACCGACCTGAAAAAAAAAATGAATATCTGGCTTGGGCAACTGTGTCCGCTTTTTGCGCCTGAACTTACCCACCTCGTGCGTAAAAATCGTCATATCTAGAATCATACCATAGGGTACAGTGAAGACTCATAACGTGACCTACATACATGTACACTAGTGGGCCTGCTTGTTATTAGCCCGACTGCGACTGCATCTGACCGTACAGTACAATTGCAAGCTCTGTACGTACTACAGAGCTTGCGATAGTACTGTACAGCCAGATGCAGTCGGGCTAACTTGTTATAGACTGGGTGTGAAGACTGTAAACCATGCATATTTCAGGCATGCAACTTGGAAGAAACAAAAAACGAGGAAACTCCAATCTTTACAAGACTTTGTACAGTGTTTTTCAATTTTGCCAAATTGTGACGTGAAAAACGAGGAAATCAGCTGATCCGAGGAAAAGTTGCATGCCTGATATTTGCACAGTGGGTTGATATCGATGTTGGTCGTACCGGTACCTAGTCCGAAAGTTTGGGACTCTCAATACTGTGTATGAGAGTCCCAAAACGTATCTGAAAACATGCAAAACAAGAAAATAGACTGGCACCTAAAACAACCAGTCCAACACCGCTTCAGTGCTGCATCAATCAACCATGCTAAAAGAATTTAAGAAACGTGTGGTATGAACCGGGAACTAGTCTCAATTTACCTTACATTTCTGCATAGTCAGCCATCAGACTAATGATACTGAATGAAGAGGTCAATCTTTCCAAATAGTTGGACCAAGGTTGTACATGTACTGCAGTAGCCCCATTTTGAAATCACTCGACTTCCCTCTCATGTGCAAAATATGTGGGAAAAGTCTCCTTTCAAAATTGAATTGAGTCTGCAAACTTGGTTGGTGAAACACTGAGGACCTTTTCTTTTGCCCAATAGAATTTTTGGAGAAATTTGCTGGCTAAAGAGTGAGTAAAGTGGGCCTGATTTAGTTTTGCACGTTTCAGAGCACTCCAGAGCCCTGTCTGGTCGTACCGGGCACAGTCACTCTGCAATAATATTGCACCGCGTGAATTTCCCAACTGTTTCAGTTTAATTCGGATTATTTGGGTTTTTCAAAAGATGGCCGGAGGCAGGGCTCCATGGACACATTACAGACAAAACGATAGCCACTTACAGACAAAAAGAAGTCTTTTTTTCATGTGACCCAGTCACATTCAGCAAATTTGTATGAGATGCACAAAACATTTGTATGCAAAGAACTTGGGGAAATACACAGCCAAAACCGTATCAAACAAAATTATACATAAATGTCAACAACAATAAAGCCCAACAGAAACTAGTAGGCCTAGCCCTATTAATCAAATCAATCACAATAAAACAAAAGCAAAATACATAAAATTAGGGTATAAAACAATCTAGATGTAAAAGATGGGCTCCAAGGTCAAGTGAAATAAAAGAAAATTGTGTAAATTTGCCAGGCAACCTTAATTTGCCTCATGTGCAACAAATGTCTTGGAAAGGATGTAGTATTCAGACGCCACTTCAGCGGTTGTCTATGGAAAGTCTGTCAAGAACATTTTGAAAGCCACTGTTTCCTAACAATTAACATGTGCCTAACAAAATTGGAAATGTTTCTCAGTCCCAGATTCATGTCTTTTCAACAATCTTGCAATGACAGACTTTCATTGAGATGATATTAGACCCATGAACGTGGCGTTGTATACAAGCCACGTTCACGGGTCTAAGATGATAATGATGAAAAAAGTGGCATCCGGATGCAAAATTCATTCCAATGTCTTTGTTTACTGCATCTAAATTATGTAATTATTCTGAAGTAGGCTCCTCTACTTAAAAGCAATAAACATGACAAGCTCACAATTACGAATTTGGACAAAACATCATGTTCAATGTTTTTGTTTTGTCAACATGTCACTGATGTTCATGTTGTGGACAAAACAGTTAAAAATGTTCAAACAGTAACAAAACCACGACAAATACATCTTTTCTCGGTAATCCTTACTTTTAGGACCCCGTTCCTATATAGGAAGGGAAAGACTCACCAAAACAGTTGACTAAATGACACTCAAAAGTCACATTTTCTTTGAAAGTGCTTTCAAAATTACAACAAACATGGGTTTATATGAAGAAAAAAGATTGCTTTAGCCTGCAAAAGTCACTTTGGTACTGGACAGTCATGACAGTCATCTGCAAAAGTCAGTTTTGAACAGAACTCGAAAAAATAGAGGTGTCCTAAAAGTAAGGATTACCCTTTTCTCTTTGATTTCTACATACTTACCACACACACAGAGTAAAGACATGACGGCGATCAGGGAAGCAGCACGCTAGTGCGCCAAGCTCCCTGTACACTCCGTGGATTGACCGGTACGCGATAGGCGGTAGTCCCGATACGTTGATTCAGGCTGCTCAAAAATACTGCCGAAATAAGACGCCGCATAGCACCAAAACAACTCCATTAGATTCCATGACACCAGTACAAACTCATGTTCATGCTTCCGGTAATTACATCTGGTCATAAATTGCAGTGAAAATTGGTCGGAATTGACAGCACATCTCGGAAATCCAAGCCAAATCGCGGAGATTGTCACTGCTAAATGCCCGGCCTCTCTTCGTGTTTTCATTTCAGTCTGGTAACCAGTGTACACGGGAGAGCACGCACGTTACATGAACCGATATAACTCGTGGTGGCTTGATCAGGGCGCCAGACTGTTTATCATTTTTATTATTGCATGCATGGGAGCAGTGATGACGTCACGGGAGGTTGCCAGACTCCGCATCATCGATTGATCACCCATCCTCATTGCACAAGGTCATCTTCATTCTGCATCGGTAATGTGCTCACGGTAAAGACACGCATATATCACATCATGTTTGTGGGGGGTGGCGCGGTTGGTTTTACACGTCGGCTCTCTCATGATACACTGGCCGCCTGTGGGTTTTTTGTGGTCACGCGAACATTGCTATTATATCAGAAGTCAACATGGCAAACCAACGGTTAAATTACCTTCAATTCAGCACAAGAAAGGGAATATATAGACCTAAGTGGGGCGGAGTTTAGGGGACGGCATTTCGGTTGAAACCATTTTCTTCCTGTGTCTCTCTGTTGGTTTTTAATTGTCGGTACAGAATATTTACTTAAAGAAAATGTTGAATGAATAAAAATGCTGAGTGGTCAAAAAGCAAGAGAATCTAGTGCTTTTTTTGCATCTGGCTTTTTGTGTATAACGATATTAGTGAAATTAGTGTTTATAAGTATCGCAAGTTTTTTAAGCGCGAGATGATTTTTTTTCCCTCGAATTTGAGGCAATGGGGTCGATCCCAGTTTCACAATATACAAAACTCCTTTTCCCTTTTTCCAAATTCTGAGCGGGTTGGATATGCTATGGAATGGAAACCATGGGAAGACATTGAGCGGGTTGCATGATTTGAAGGATATCCATAGATTTTGAAGACATGGCTGGTTTGAATCCAGATGTAATTATTGGCTAAGAATGATTCGAATACAGTTGCAGACTATTTGAAGGGACATAATTTGAGAGGATTTGGAAGGGGACAATAAGACCAATCTCGAGATTATTGAGAGACAGACGGCCAAATAGTTTCAGCGCAAAGGAGCCATCCGTTCAATTCCTTCCAGCATCAGAAGTCGTTTCAGCACATTCAGAAAATGCTCCAGATAATTATGGTCCATGACTGATCAATGAATGAACCTCTAAGTTTGATTCTTCAAACCTTACAGGGAGCAAACAGTGGCGTATCAAGCAATATATATTGCCCTTTTTTAACGAAAATGAAAGAGTTAGCGCCTCCAAACCGCTACTACTAGCAAACAAAATCCCCCTCCCCTAGTCCAAAAACCTGGGAACGCTATTGAGATCAAGGAAAAACAGCCCTCAACCCCCCCCCCCCCCCCGTAATGCCAAATATAACTGACTCGGGAAAATGCGGTGTCATATAGGGCTCCACGTTCTATTAAACACAAGTATTAAATAAAGTATTAACACAAGTATTTTGCAATATTTCTAATTGCTTTGGATATCATAGGCCTTCGACAATCTGAAGCCAGCAGTGTTGAAATCGAGTCACCAAAGTCGAGTCCGAGTCCGAGTCTCGAGTCACAAGCCTCGAATCCGAGTCACGAGTCACGTGTTCCTAGTTGTTCACCAAACCAATCTTTTTTTCTTTTTTTTCCTTTTTTCTCAATCATCAATTCTGTCTTTTAAGTAAATCCCAGTGTATAGTTTGTCTTGTGTGTGTACATGTTGTTTAGAACCAAAATGTGTTTTCCTTTTAATTCCCATCCCTAAAAAAAATCCTCCTCCATTCCTTCCCTCCATGTTTTATTATCCAAACATTATTCCTCAATGATCCTTTCCCATCCCTTCGTTAAGTTTTTTTCTTTTGATGAAAATACGTGACTCGAGTCACGAGTCACTAAGCTTGAGTCCGAGTCATTATGGTCGAGTCCGTCCGACTGTCCGAGTCCGAGTCATTTTCCAATGTGACTCGAGTCGGGTCCCAGTCACGAAAAATGTGACTCGAGACCGACTCGAGTCCGAGTCCTGGACTCAAGTCCTACAGAAGCCAGGGACAAAAAGACGAACCGCAGACGCCCCCACCCTCTCCACCGGGCCCCGCAGTGAACGACAAGCATAGCAAACGTGCATGCAAAGAATTTGACTGCCAGGGCTAGCTTTTAGGTAACGGGGCGGAGGTGAGTGAAGGGCGCCGAATGCTCGGTTCGGGCTTGCCCCCGGAAGAGTTTTTTTGACTGAAATGTACGCTGCTTTCTCCTGCATTCTAAGGCAATTTTAGAATAAATGTTGGAACTTTAGCATTCCATCTATTATATTAATTTTGGTCCCATTTTACTAGCATCATAACAAAATAGCTATATCGACTGAACGGGGGGGGGGGGGGTTGCGACCCCCTACCCCCTGTTTATATCACAGTTCTATTTGACGCCGTATTATTAAGTAAATGATTATTGTTTGGAAAAAAAATGACTTTCTAAAGAACAGTAAAAGCTGATAATGTTCTATGTTCCTGTTATTTTTTTTCTCCCAGATATTAAGCAATAAGAAATAGATCAGAATTCAGGGTCGTTATGTTTGGACTTGAAACCGAACTCTCGAAATCGAGTAGCATCCTCTATCTATGGACGGCGTGTTCTACCTACGGACATCAGGATTTGGGGCTGGGTACAATGGACGCGTTAAATACCTAATTGAAACATTTTGTTCACTTAGCTGAATGCGAGAACTGACCAATGTCCAAAATTAAATGTTTGCAAGCGCATGTTTCTCTTGCCTCTATGGTTCGTCAAAATAATTGCGATAATTTCAAGATACGAAATGAACTTGCGTGCTTGCAGAACCGTACATTGCATTTATACGTGTCTGATTATAGGTTCAAAAGGTAAGGGCGACCTCAATTGGAATTAAGTGGTAAATATTCTTCTTCTTTTTTTCCAGAAAGCTATTCCAATATTGGTTACGCTGCTATGTTATCTGATCACTGGAAAATATAATTTTGTTAATACTGATAATGTACGCTCGTCGGAATTTGAGGCCTAGCATTAGAGACAATGATCGGCGCCTCATAGGCATAAATTATGCGTATAGGTCTAAGTTATGTTCTGCGTAGGGGTATAACCATTAAGTAAATAAATTCCCATACACCAGTTATAAATCCCCATACTTCAACATTATTTTAGAAATACTCAAAACTCTCAGGGGTTCAGGCTTGCACAGAAAAATGATGCTCAACATGTCGTCTTTTATTTTCCTTTCAATTTTCGGTGGGTTGACTGATGACTTTTATGAGAAATGCTCACCTAATAAAGACCACCCCTTAAACGAATGATATTTCCCAAATTGGAAAAGAAGCCTTTTTAAAACAAGAATCCCGCTAAATAGCGCCACTTTCGGACTCAGTTACTCAGTTGTTGTTGTTTTCTAGAAAAATATCCGTCTGAAACACTGCAATGAAATGATGGTACACGCATTTCCTCTTTTCTTGAACATATGACAGCATTTAATCAAGTAGCTAGTATATTGTCATATTTAAGCAGTTGTTTAAATGGTGTTGATTACCTTTAAAAGGCGGGCACTAGCCCATCTTTTGAGGTTTGCAATTTTGGGGGGCCATTAGCAGCTCAATGTATTAAATTCCCCATTTCATTTTTCAAATGTTGTGGGTTTTTTTTATCTTTACATTTGCAGGCATTTTCAATCTATTTGTATGTTCTTTATCTGGTGCTTCTTTCCAGAATTTGAATCACAAACTTATAAATTGGCTTGGTTCCAGAAGTTGACTTCAAGACTTATAAATTGGCTTAAAGCGTTATACACTAATGTAGATTGATAAACTATTGCAAAAAGTAAGAAAACTTTTAATGGTGGTGTTAATTCATTTAAAAGGTAACCCAGATAAAAATCTAATTTCAAATAACTTAAAGATCATATAAAATGCCAATATGTCCTCTTTCCAATGATATCTTGATTGTGTCTGTGGCCACGGATGACTGAGCATTCGTTGTTATTGTGTCTTGGATCCAACCTGTACTGGGCCAAGTTTTATTCTCTCATAACTAAGATTGCTGGCTGGTTTGTTATGCAAAGGTTGAAATAGACTATAGACTTAGTGCAGAGCTATGTGTGCAGGAACGAGGTGGTGGCCACATTGAAGGTATTGGGAAATGAGCATTGGCGTAGGGGGCAAGGTGGGCGCTGCCCTTACCCCTAGACAAGCCACACGCAAAAAAAGACAAAATAAGGAAAAAAAGAGGCGCGAAATCATATTGATGTTCATTTAATGGGGGATGTCCCTGCCCATCCTCGAAAAAAAGAAGAAGATCAATTGCAATGAGAAAATGCTGAAAAATAGGCCTATAGGATTTTAGAGGGAAAACGTGCTTTGCTCCTTCCTTTTAGAAAAATTTCCTGGCGACGCCCATGGCATTGAGGGGTTTAACTTCAATAATGAGTGGTTAAATCTATTTTTCAAACATGAATAAATTGTTTAAGAAGAGGATGTCTTTTCTCTTTAACCTAAGCCGAACTTCCACATGCCCCGAATACCCGTTTGGACAAACTTGGCCAAGTTGGTATTAACATTTCGTGTATTCATTAAACGTGTAATATAAATTTGTTGAATATTGAGTGGAATTGTCATCCAATACAAATAATATTGCGAACACAATTTAGTGAGTTCAGCGCTAAAACTACATGGCGAATTTGGTTCATTAACGTTCCTGGATCAAAAGTAACACACTCGTGCTTGTGGAGACAATGACTAAAAAAATATTTATTGTTTAGAATTGAAATTATATCTCCTGATTGGTTATCATTAGTAACACAAATTACGTTCAACTTCGGGGAGAATCATAAAAAAATAAAATTAACATATCCACACAAAAATACGTGCGCAAAAAAATACACGTCGAATTCGGAGTCAACTTTCATGACTAAAAAAACACACTCGGTTTCCGGACGATATCTCAAGAAATGTATGTTGCATTGAATTGAATTTTCGTACAATAATTCATTATGACAGATAACCAAAATCAGTTGAAATTGGAGAGGAGTCGTAAAATAATAAAAAAATATGTAGCAAAAACCA